GCGAGGCGGAGCCCGCGGCCTCGGGTTCGGGCGAGGCGGATCCCGCCCCCAGAGGTCGGGCGGGTCGGAACCTGCGTGCTTGGGTCGGTTGGAGGTGTAGTTGCGCTCTTAACTGCTCGGATGAATCAATGTTGATGGTCATTAGCTCCTCCTCTTCGGGTACCCTAGTACTGGTCCCCGACACAATGCGATCGGTAACTTTGTGATTGATAATTTTTTTATCTGGAATCATTGAGAGTCCTAAATATTTGTTTATTTTCTCAAAATTCAAAATTTTGAATTTTCGAACAACTTTGATATAGATCAGGTTAACGTCCAAAGTCATTTGAAAATTCTAAATTTTAAAATATAAAAATTAAACAAATATTTGATTGAGAGCCTGCAAGGCAGTTCTGGCTCCAGATGGACCAGATCTGAGCCCAGGGCGCTGCCTGTGCAAACCAAAGAGGCTTTAATTACCACTACAAAGTGTAGCTAGAATATTGGAAACATAAAGCCGTGGTAATCAAGATTTCGCTTGGCATTTTTTATCGGAAGTAGAAATGATTGCTAGGGATCGTGTTATTAAGGACAGCTTTAACATTGACCCATAACAACTCAGGGATCAGCTCAATTAGAGCAAAGAAGTAGGAAACGTTTGTATGCTTTCCTGAAAAAGCTGTCCAAGAAACATCTGTATTGAATGTGTAAATAAAACCCTGGGTATGAAAAAATGTCACAATAAATATTGTGACCGGTAAAAAAAGATCGTTGTTGTAGTGTTGCATCACACTCGTCAATTTAGTTGTTTGATTTGTGAAATGAGATAGATTAATCTATCGTTAGCTTCTCCCTCACAAGCTACTAATTAATAGAAATATGAGTAATAGGATTATTTAAAAAAAACATAGAATAACATCGTGATGCACCATCTCACCTAGAATAAGGTGCTTCCACAAACCAAATACCACGTTAATCCACTTAATCAAATAGGCCAAGATAAGTTAAGTATTGTTTTGTGTGATCACCTTCCAATGGCGTGTGACGGTTCCAACGTAATCAAACATGTAGTAAGATCTGAAGCTTCTGAATCAACACTTTTGCAGGAAAACTTTCAGATAGGTTGAATCAAGCCCTATGTGGAAGGGCTCTTACCAATGCCGTCTCCCTGCTTCTCTGGCTCCTACAGAGAAGCTGGAGCCGGTGAACTAAGAAAGGTGAAGCCAGGAGAAGATAAACAGCAAGAGCTCCAATCTACGGTGCTAGTGTAGGTGTACCTGAATGTTGCTTTCTTAAAAGCAGAGGTTTTCCTTTTTTTTTTTTTTTTAAAAAAAAAAAAAACGGTGCTAGTGTAGGTGAAGCCAGAGCCCCCACTTAAGCTCTGCAAAACGAGCCCTCTGAGTCCATATTTGTTGATGGTCAGGACTGTATACATGTTTGAAATAGAATTGGGAGCTGGAAATCTGACTTGCCCGCTTGCCTACCAAAAGTTACCACAAGCTTCAAGATTTGTATGACATGCAATTCTGTTTCCAGAACAATACTACTAATATCAAGGAACAGACATACATGTCTCCTTTAGTCCATTATGATGTCGCCCATGTCTTCGTATCCATGATTGGCAATATATACAGCAGGACCAGGCAATTTACTTTAGGGTACCGACTGCTGAAATACAACTATGTAACACGACAACTTTCTATGCCTAAACCTTCACTATGCACCATTGTATGCTCACAAGTCCTTGAACATAGAAAGCTATATCCCTATTAAAAAATGTCAATCCTAGAGCATCTTCACTTTGACTTCTTTCGAAATCGTTGGCGCTTCTTGCCGCCAGAGTTGTTACTTCCATCCCAAGCACTTCCCCAGAAAAACAATGACATCCAGAATAGAACGGCAAAGAAGATCCGTGCTCTATCCTGCAAACTTGACAGCTTCTCTTGCCAACCTGTCAAAAGAAAAACAAAATTAATTACAGTGTAGTGTGCATGCGCTTATTAACTAAGCAAGAATCTTGAGGGTCAAAATGGGCCTAGTGATAGGATACCATATGATAAAAAAATAAAAAAAAAACCTCGACCTGCGAGGGGCAAGCCGCCCCCCGGGCATTATATGCAAGAAGAAGGCCTTCTCACACAGGCCGAGAAAACCCGCGAACCCCGGCCCCGGCCCGACACTGGGAGACGTAACCCGTGAGATGGGCCGTCTCCTTTAAACCAGTGCTTTGGCACCCGGGACCGGCGAGGGGATTTTTTTTTAACCCCTAGCCTGAAATTCGCTCCCACTGGGAGTCGTACCATATGATAAAACTTACAAGAAGTTGACAGTTGACACTACAGAAATACTTCGTTCATGAAACAGAACAAACTGTCTAGATTGACTGTTCCTCAATAGATCTAACATCCTAAAAAATAATTTGTTGACAAACATCACAAAAAAACTGAAGCAACCTATCTCTATCTAGATTTTCTGTTTCAATCACAAGTTTCGGAAACAGTATGTAAAACTAGGAAGTCATGACTGAGGTCGCCGCTCATGAACTAGGTTTATAAATAACACCAAGCAAGTCAGTATTTTGGAAATTACAGTGTTTCTTGATGCTGAATATTTTATCCTATAAAGAAGCAAAACCAAGGAAAATAAATCCAGCAAGGCCTGCTTTTTTCTATCAGGAAATACAATATTCTCTTTTAATAGATGTCACATGTCCTATCGGCATGACTTGCCATGCCTACCAAACTTTTGATCAAATGACGCACTGCTTTCTCATAAGGCCCTACTCCTTTTTCATAACCACAAGAAATTAGCTAAAATTCATTCTTTGTATACAGAAGATTCAAAATTCACTGTGAGAAAGGGAGCAACTAGGAGGGGTGAGGAGCTAGTTTGTAGGAAGTCTCATCATTTACAGTGGTGAGAGGAATTCAGAGACACTTGAGCACGAAAAACAATAACTGCTTCCTGCAAGTCTGCATCCGAATTTGTGATGCTATATGTGGGAAACATGCAAAATATATAGCAGCAGTTATTCTGGGACAACAATTTCTAATCTAGTCTCCGTATGCTGATTACTTGAGCATCTTCCTCCTATCTTCTGGGCTAGTTATTATATATATACTCCCTCCATTCCAAAATGTTAGTTTTGTCCTAAGTCAAACTTCTCTAACATTGATCAAGTTTATACAAAAATATATTAGCATATACAATACTAAATAAATGCACTATAAAGACACATTTCATGGTGGATGTAATGAAATAATTTGATGTTTTAGATGTTGGTGCATTTTTCTATAAACTTGGTCAAAGTTAGAGAAGTTTGACTTAGAACAATGCTAAAACGACCTACATTTGGAGCAGGGGGAGTACGATGATGGCAGATAAACACTATCCTTCCAGGTGTACAATCAAGAGTTTCACTTGAATATGGTAGACTGGTAGCTGTGGTTTACACTCCTAGCCAAGTATAGTGATCCTTCCTCTATTCTCCTACTATCATGCTGGGTAACTGCTATGTGCTATCTATACACCATCTATCATTGCTAGTAAAAGTCAATTGGTAGCTATATTTGCAACTAGCACCTTCCAGTTTGGTGCTGCAAGATCTTGTAATTCTGCTACATATGTATCAGTTTAAGCCTATAGGATATAGAGCTGTTGATTATATTGAAAAAACACACTTATGGTCTACAGCTGCATGTACAACCTGTACTCTGTTATTGTATGACTAAGCATTCTAGTTTACTTGAGTAAACTGAAAGTAAGCTAGAACACGGAATGTTTAACCTGGCCATGTATCTTCAGTTGTACTATGGACATTGTCAGTATCTTCAGTTGTACTATTGACATTGTCAGGACAAGGTCTATTCTATTGCCAACTATGGTTTACCTTACCATCTAATGATAATCTTCAGTTGTACCGCTTCACTTAGTGAAAGAATTAACCATATCTTTCCAGATTTATCTGACAGCTACTGTGAGGTTTTCACATCCAACAAATTAATGTCATCACCTGATACTTTAAAGTCACATAATTAAGAAACAGAATTCCAGTTTATAGTCATTCTAAGTTTCTAACAGCTTATATTCTCAGCATCGATAAGAACTTGGTCTTGGTGTATACAGGCTGTACTTGCTTCACCTCTCCATAGTTCAATTTACTCATTGACATGGTTATATGAATCATTTTAGGGATGCAAGTGGGTTGACCCGCGAACCCGCATATAAGCTTAATTTTGTGGGTTGCCGCAAGAAACAAACAAAATTAACCCTATATGCGGGTTCGCAGGCCAACCCACTTGCATCCCTACTCATTTATCACACATGGGACATGAGCTCTTCACAAGATGCAGTTCAGTATATCATAATCCTCCAACAATCACACAAGCATCAGGAAAGCATTTGGCATCAAGCATCAGCAAGCAAATAACCATCATACAATCATGAGAGGATCAACAGCAGCCACACTACCATCCAAACAAGATCACACATGCACAGATGAACACCAGGTATACGATTAGCAATTTTGTGTCTAAAATAATTTTTGTGTGAGTTGTATCCGGATTGAACCTATCAAAAAATGTAGATAGCGAGTGGCATTAAGTATTCAAATGATTGAACTCTGGATCTGGAACACCCAGAGCCAAGAAATTGCTCAAAACTAAATTTGAGGCCAAAATTCCTCATTCGATGTGCCTCCAATTGTGACAACTTACAGTGTTATCTTAACTTGATCTACACATGAAAAGATATATAGAAATAGAGATCCCAGATTCCCAAAGGTAGTACAACTCTTCTGGTTACTCACTCCAGATAATGTGTAATCGTTCAAAGAAACCACTTCTTTTTTCTTTTTCCTTTTTTTTTTCTTTTTTTGCAAAATTTCAAAAAGGAAGTGCACCCTTCAGTTATGAATCTATCTTGGGACTGTGTCTGAGAGAACCAGGGCAAGCTAACCGTGCGGAGACGGAGGGGGCTCTGAGGAGGGCGGCGAGGGCCCGGCGGCGGCTCGACAGCGTATGATGCCGGGCAAGGGACGACAGACTGGGCCCAGAGCAATCGGGGAAGGCGCAGCGGCGGCGGCCGCCACTGGTGCTGGCCAGAAGCGGAGGCGGGGAAGGGAAGGGCGCAGTGGGCGGAGGCGCGAGGAGGAGGTTGCGGTGGAGGCGGGGGCAGCTGGAGGGGAGGTCGGCGTCGCCATCGCGAAGGTTTGTCTGGAGGGTGGGGAAATACGTGGCTGTCCGGAGGTTTGGCGACTGGAGTTGTGGTCACTGTCTGGTTTAGGTCCTTGCTGTTCACCTCCAGCGGGTGGTGGACGAGCTGACGGCTGGACCTGGACGCGCTTCCAGTCCCAGCTGTCGCTGCTGCGAGCCTGCGATGCGGGTGGTAGGCTGGTAGCTGGGTGGAGACGTGGAGTATTGCCCGTGAAGGATGCGGGCAAAAGAGAGATTAGGTCAGGGAGGGATGAGCTGGCCTGGGACCGATCATGACAATGGCCTTGTTAAGATTATAGTTACGAATCAGTATTTGGTATTGTAGTATTTTTATTTATATTTGACAATTATTATTCAATCATGATCTAACTAGACTCAAAAGATTCGTCTCGTAATTTACAATCAAACTGTGTAATTAGTTATTTTTTTATCTATATTTAATACTCCATACATGTGCCAAATATTTGATGTGAAGGAGAGAAAGTAAAAAAACTTCCAATCTAAACAAGGCCCATGTTTGGCCTTCTGGTTCTCGTTAGTCGTTTAGAAGAGGCCCACGAAACTATTGTCCACGTGATCCAGACAGTGTACCTAAAGCAAAGCAGCAAACCTTCTTTAGATAATAGCAAAGCAGCAAAACTGATCACATGGACTGATAAGCAACAAAGGTAAACGATTACAACGGAATCGAGAGATTAAAGACACACAAAGGGTTAAAAGATAGTCTGGAGTAAAACGAAGCCAACCTCCTCTATATTAGGGTATGGGATCATACATACAACACATATATAACCGCCCTTTGATGCTCTACATTATCTCGTTGTGTACAAAAGAATATCCTCCTCAAATATCAAGTCTCCTCTATGTCATCTAGCATCTATAATTTATATGACCAAATATTAACGTTGCTACTCTTGGCGCAACATATGCCCAATATAACATGAGAATCATGTAAACCTAATCTAGATACCGTCTGGAAACATAGACGACATAAGTCTGATCTTCAGAATGTTCTAACTAGCAGGAGCCAATTACGGTCCTGCTATGCTTCCAAAGCTAAGACTGGTGCCAACCTAATTTAAGCTCCTTCATGGACACTTTCCGGGTCTCCTGGAGTTCAGGAAAAAATCATGCACATAGCCAAGATATAGCAGTTTATTAGTCGCGAGCCGCCTTGTTTCTCCAAGCAGCAATGGGCTTTGGAATGTTGTCGAAACGAGGGATGGGGAGAGGAAGAGCAAAAGCATCTGTATTTATGCTCCACTTGCTTGCTGACCATATGGATGAACTTGTGTTGGTTTCTGGCTCCTGGAACTCTGGAGTGCTGGATGATTTCCTTACAGTTTGCACACCATTGCCAAACAAAGGCTCTGCCATTGCAAAAAGATTCTGCTGACTCTTGTTCATGTCTGGTCGATTGCTAGACTTTGGCCTCAGTGCCAAGCCTTTTCCAGCGCTTGCCAGAAAGTCACCACCATTTTCCTCCCTCGGTAACAGCTCACCGTCAGCTTTCTGGCGCCGCCTTATAAACCTTTCACTATCACCATTCTCATTGGTATCACCATCAAGAGAAGAACCTATCATCAAGCTTCTGGTTTTCCTATTCTGAAGAGGGAATGGGTCGGAATTTGGTGGCTCCAGCCACGGCTCAACATCCAAAAAAGCAAATTTGCCTTTACTGTGAACTGCCATCTCAGTGCCTTCACTTGTTTGATCTCTCTTTGGAGGTGGTGCAAGGCCATAGTATCCCTGCAGAAGACTCATAGCTGGCGAAACTTTGGGCTTTGGTGTTTTCAATATTGAATCCAAGATATCTTCGTGAATGCGGCGTGGAGTGCATTCCCTGAAACGACAATATTATTATGTCATGTAAGGCGTATCATAGAAATAGCAAAAATGGCCTGGAGAAGACTTTATACGATGTAATTAACTATAATTATTGTGGAAAGCCTTAGACTCGACAAGCTAGAAACAAGAAGCATTTGCTGCAATAGCAACTAGAGAGAGGCTAAGATTTTGGGTGCATAACTCTGAAAACACTGCCACTGTATTCACCCAAAACGTCTCACAAATGTCAAATGTCTGAAGTACATCTACTTTGTGACATTATTTTAGACATGTACAGATCATAAATGCTTCAATGCTTGAAGGAGATTACCACAGCCACATAAGCAGAAGACAACTAAGATGTATTTGCATAGTGGTTCACATGAACCATAAGCTCCTATAGTGCTCTTCACATGTTGACTACTTTATGTCCACAGCTAATACTGCAGTCACATGAAGACAGCTTAAAATTGCCAACATAAATATGCTAAACCGTCTTAGATATGCCACATGAATGTTCATACAGTCAGACCCAAAATATCAAGTTATATGCCCACTCAATTGATTAGCTGCATGTCACTAAAGAAAAAAAATGGCTACAGAAAGATTCAAGGACTCACGACTCCTTTGGTTAAAGGGTGTACAAATTGCTGACAGCTCCAACACAAGGTTATTGTGCATGCATATTTAGTTCAAATCAGTTTTTCCATAACAAACCGAATCGAACTCCAGTGCGTGGGGTGGCAGGCACCTAACAGGCCAAAACATCTGGATAGTACAGAAGACCAAAACAACTCAAATAACTAAATATTAAATGTATAAAAGGGAATAGCTAAAGAAAAACCGCTGCTTGCATTGAACGCGGAAACAGGACACGACAAAAAGCTTAATAACTCTAGCTGCATGTTTAGATTGCAGCAACCGTGGCAAGTCGTTTTTAATATTTTATACATCTAGGGTAACGTATTACTACCACATCCGTAATTCAAAACCTCTTTGGGACTAGCAGGTGTGAGATGACTTCATAATTTATTTTCAGTTTAGCTTCTCTCTCCAATAACGGATCTCAAAGCAACCTCAATAATTGATGTGATGGGAAAACGTTTCCCCTGGTTGTAGAAAGTTTTTTTTTTTTGGCAGCAACCATGCAGTTGAAACTTGAAATGATAAGAAACATCTTGCATGAGACTACAAGGCTAAGCTTCCTTTTCAGTTGCTATTTCAAGTTGTATTACACACAATGATTTCCCGTGGCAATAGTTGAAGGCATGTATTCAACCACATTGCACTAGTGCCCTAGTCTGACCCTGATCTTGACATGCATTTCCTGAGTGAACTTGTATTGACTATTTAAATAACTAGTGATTATCGCTTAACACACAAAAAATAATCAAATGCTTCATCAGAAACACACAACATGAGACACACTGGTAACATGGTTTATGTAGCATGCCATGCTGATGCTCGGTACAATTTCAGTCTAGCTACCTGTCGTCACTCTCATATGAACCATTCTGCTGGTAAGACGACGGAGGGTGCCTCCCCGGGAGTGGAATCCGCAGTGTCTTGTGTGCAAACATCTGGAGGTCAGTTGAGAGGCCGTTCAGCCTCTTAATGTCGGCTACCTACACAATCCGAATACACCAACCATTCCAAAATCAGTTCACCAGAAATACAAAATAGAGAGTGGTTCCACCCCAGAAGAACAGCTACCAAGTTAAAGAATGCTGCTGTTTAATATCCCATCTGATACTCCAATATAATATTAAAACCAGAGGCCCAGCAGCACATCACTCCCATCGCATTTTACCTCGACGCCGTACTTGATAGCGACGCCCGCTAGGGTGTCCAGCTTGCGCACCCGGTGTAGCATGTACTGCCCGCACGACGACATCGCCGGCGGCGGCGACGACGCCGACGGGGACGAGGACTGCGAGGGCAACGACTGCTCGACGGCTACGGTGGCCGCAGCGCCCACCTCCTCGATCTCGCCGCCGAGGCCGCGGGCCCCGCCGTCCAAGGACCCATTGGTGCGCGGGAAGGGCGGGTCCTTGGGCAAATGGGGGCGGCTCATGACATCCGGAAGCGCGGAGGGGGGAGATCTGAGCGCGGAGGGCGCAGATTCGGGGCGGCGCCCCGCCGATTCGCCGTCGGTGGCGGCGGCGGAGGATACGGTGTAGGAGATGGTGCGATGAATCGGCGAGGAGAGAGAGGAGGGGGAAGGGTGGGAGGGAGGGGTGAGGGGAGAGGGGAGAGGATTCGGGCCCGGTAGAGCTCCGGCTCCGATCAAAATAACGGTGGACCAGATTCAGTCAGAGAGCCAAGGCAGTTTTTTTTTTTACCATTTAGTAAAATAGCTTCTTCCGGTAATTCAAAAGAATAAATTGTTCATAATACCATTTTTTTCTTTTTTTTTCTTTTCTTTTTTTCCCAACCTTGTCTGTTCGGTCAAACCACACGCGGCCTATTGATCTATCCGACGTATCTCCTTCAACCTCCGGCGCCTCGCAGCGCGCCATGGGGCCACGCTTCCGCGCCTACGCCGGCTCTGCCCTCCACGCCAGCTCTCTCTCCACCACACCTTGCGTCCCCGCGCTTCGGCGTCCGGAGCTCCGGCCACTACGCGTGCTGCGCGGCCATGCGCCCGCCCTCCCTCCCTCCTCGCATGCGCCTCCGAGCACTGCCGTTGCGGTTGCATCCTCGTGTGCCTCACTTGACCATCCGGCAGCGGACCGACGCCTCCGCATGAGCTGCGCCCAAGACAAGCGTGCGCTGATCGCCTCGACGCCGGACGAGCCCGCCGCGCCGTCGTGCACCCGCATGACCCTTTACGCCGTTGCTGTTGCACGCCGACGCTACTGGGGAAAATCAAAGCCACCGGCTGGTTCTGGGCCCACTCTCTATTGCGGAGCCGGAGGAAGCTACATTTTTTGGCTCCTACTCTCTCTCCTCGCCTCTCTCAGCGGGTTTCCCGCGGCTCCGAACGCAGAGCGGAGCCATTCTCTGTCGTTTGGCTGGTGGAGCAGCGAAGCCATACCAAACAGCCCCGAAGAAGGAAGAAGGGGGCGCCGTGCTACAAACGTGGCGCATGGGAAGTACCCCCGTATGCGCTTCAGACGTTTTTAATCGCGTCATCGTCATAAATAAAATATTGAAAATGAATCTCCATTTCTATCTTTTTTTTGGAACATCCATTTCTATCTATTTGAAAAATGGAGGCTTCCACCAAAAATTGATGATCCCTTGGTGTTTGAAATGGTCCCTTCATCTTAAAGAAAACCATTATACCAAACTGTAGCAGTAGGAAGTTAGAGAACCATTGAACCAAGCTCACATAGCCTTCGTCTTTTTATTCTTCCTCCTTCAGCAGTGTTCTCTATCCTCACCATGACTAGGCCCGCCCAACTTCCATGTTTGATTGTTTGGCGCAGGAGAAAAATCATTCATCT